CAAAGTTAATGCTCACTTAATACGATTCCAAAATGGCAATTGGTTAGGCCTGTCTCTTATACAGATCTAGATGGGTATAAGAGACAGCCTTTTATCCTAAGGAGCTATAACTGATTCAAAATATTCATGGTTTTATGCATTTATAAATGTTGACGCACGCGTACGTGCACGCTAAAAAGCGCGAACGGAAAATTAAGGTACATAACATTTAACCTTGACCTGAAGCTTATGCTCACCTAATATGATTTAGAAATGACGAATGGTTAAGATTATATGGGCTCATCAACGTTTTGAAGAAAGAGAAATGAGGGGGTCAGAAAAAACAATTTTTTTCACCAAAATTTTAAAAGAAGTCAAATATATGAAAGAGAATTGTCTCAGCTATAACATACTCAAAGTTGGAAGACGATCGACGATAAGCGAGATACGCTCAAATGCGTATTTTCAAAAATGACGTCGTAGCTATAATTCACTTTCTTTGAATTCAGATGCCAATATGATGACGTCACAATGTCCGATCATCCATTATGATCTATAAAATCATATTTACAACTTACGTGCTTTCAGAATATGTAATAAAAATTGGGGGTCACCTTTCAACCTAAGGAGATATAACTGATTAAAAATAGGTCTGATTTTAGCATAATTTCACTGTATAGCGGCACAAATACGCGTAAAGATACCTATTTTATTGGCCAAAAGATGACCGAAAAGAATGCAAATTTGTGAAAACAATTTCAGGAACCCAAAAGATGTAAAAAAAACCTAATTTCTAACTTCCATACGTACTGCGCAAGTAAAAGTGCGCGCGCGTAGTGGAAAATTATGAAAAATTTTGAAATGCTCAAAATGGCATTAAACGTGCTCTAATTTAGTCAAAAAGTGATTTCAAGGATTTTGAAATTTTGACGCACGCGTGCGCACGCGTCAATAAGCGCACGCGTAAAATTAGGGTACAGTACATTCAATATTAACCCAAAGTTAATGCTCACTTAATACGATTTCGAAATGGCAATTGGTTGGGCTGATATGATCGATAATGTAAAAACGCAAAATTGCACGTAGATGACGTCACGCATGACTGAGCGCGTTGAAAAGCTTATGATCCTGACAATAACAAGAGGTGATCCGCTAGTGTAGCGGATCACCAATAATACAGCATTCGTAAAATGTTTGTCACTGGGAACAGTCACAAAAGTGGGGGGGGGGCAGGCTCCCCAGTAGAAAAAGTGGGTGGAGGAAAAATTATCAGTAGGGTAAGAATGCTTTGATATCTTTAGTTTATTCATAGCTATGTCACATGTTTTCATTGGTTAAACACTTTTTTGTACAGTACTTGTGAATATAAGCTTGCAGATATGGATAATTTTTCATTCCTGACATAATTAATGTTAAAATATTGAATCCCTCAAGATGGCGTGCATTTCGATACTCGGATTATGAATTTTACTATGTTGTTTTCATAACTATATACATTTTCAAGAATTTGTGTGCGAAATAACCAGTGGGACAATGAGAGACAACAAAAGTAGGGATTATCCTTTTCAGAAAATTTGCATAAAAAGTTACTTCTTATAAGCTTTAAAAATAGCTTTGAAGTAAAAGAACATTATGCCCTGGGTAAGCATCATGTGGACACTGGTCAGAAGTAATGTGCATAACAAATTTTACGTCTGTCTTAACTGTACTTCAGGCGTAAGGTATTATACAGTAGTCTGAACATAACTAATGAAGTGCAGTAGAATGACCATATGCCCTTGGTTAGCATCATGTGGACACTCAATTCCGATGCCTGTCGGAACTTTTACTTCAGACAGAAGGATGTCTGAGCACAACTAATGAAGTAGAAAGAACTATAACATAGGTTAGCATCGTGTGGACACTCATCGGAAGTTCTATCATTAATGCAGGATCAACAATTATTAGGAAATGTTCTTGAATTTATGTCGGTCGAAACTTTACTTCAGACAGAAGGCTGTCTAAACGGAGTTAGTGCATTTGTCCCAAGGTCCTGTGGTCCAAAAGGCCTTTAGTCCGAAGGTCCGTTGGTCTGAAGGGCCTTTGGTCCGAACGTCCATTGGTCATAAGTAATTAATTCAAATATAGACAAAAATATATTTTTTGAAAACACATGTTCGGGACCACCATGTAGGTCTATATTGGCTAACAATATACAATTATTGCTAGCATGACTTGTCAGCTCAGTTTGTATATATTTTTAACAAATTATTAGAAATTGAAAAGATTCCAAGTGAATGTAAGTATAATTTCCTAATTTTTAAGAAGGAGACAAAAGATTTTAATAACAATAGGGGGATTCAAGTAACTTCCATCCAGTGTTTGGAAAACCTTATCAGATTTATTTACATAGTAGACACATTGACAGTGGTGGCGAAAGCATCTGGGGGGCGGGGGGAAATGAAGGGCTAGAGGGGGGAGTGGGTGGCAAGTTCCCGACAAGAGCAAAGTGGACATGGTCGTGTGTCAGGGGTGCCTCGGAAAATGTGACAATTTAGGGGTTTCAAAGGGTTATTCAATGGATTCTAAATAGTCTACTAATATGTAGAAAATACATATATATATATATTTTTTTTTTTTTTCTCCCCGACGAATTGTGTTTTTCTCTACCCTTCTGGTTGGGGGAGTGGGGCAGCAAACTGGGGGAACACACATTTTCTAGGGGGAATTTACTGCCGTATAACCTGCATTCCTGGAAGAAAAGTCACTAATTCTGGCCAACGGGCCTTCGGACCAACGGTGCATTGTATGCACCCGTTTAAATGAAGTAGAAAGAACTATATACCCTATGTTTTCGTGTGGAAACTATCGGAAGTTCTATCAGAATGCAGGGTTGACAATTTTAGGAAAGCTTCTTGACTTCACGTCTGTTGGAACTTTACTTCAGACGGAAGAGTACCCTCTGAACATAACTATATTCGTAGGCTGAAATTTATTATTTGAACCATTTTGTGGTAGTCAATGACTCAGCATTATCCATTATAAGTACAAGCATTTCTTAAATAGCGCCAAGTGTGCGCAAAATGATAATATTAGCAATAGTTTATAATTGATCACTGGCCTACCGGGCTTGTAATAAGAGGAGTTTTTACTAGACATTGTATAATGGACTAATACTAAATCGATCTGCGATTATCATTAAAGGTTCGTTTACTTGAGATTGGATAACTTAAAAACAATGGCTTTGCCACTAACATATGAATAGCCAATAAATAATAATAATAATAATAATAATACTAGTGGTTAAGAACTGAAAAAAACTCAAAAAAAATTTCCAATTTTAAAATGAAAATAAAAATCAATTAAAGTATTATGGTTAATTATGTAAGTTTATTTATGATAATTCTGTTTAGTTAATGTAATTAAGTTTATTTCACTAGGCCCTAATGTGATTTTCTTTTTTTTTTTAATTAGTCTGTTTTTACCTTTTTGTTTTAATTTCTGTTTTGTTGAGTTGTACAATGCCTTTTACGGCCTTGTTGGAAAACACCATTGCAGTTAACAAGTGTTTCCGTAGTTATATAAAGTTTTTATTATTATTATTATTATACTAATAATTTGTTGCCTTTTTTGAAATTTCAGACCGATTTCGCCAGAACTAGCACTATCACAGGAGGAAAGTATGTTTATACATTTTTTTTCTTATAGTCTACCCCTGTCGGGCAAATCCTAGTGCTATTTCCGATCCAGTATTACTGATGGTATTCTCTACGGATCTTGAGATAAATATCACTGAACGAAAAATAATAATAAAACTCAATCTATAAATGTTGTATGCATCTGAAGTGCTCAGAAATCGTGGACCTACAGAGCACTACCCTGCGGCCTCAGCACTGCTAGTTGGCTTCAAGCTCTGCCAATACTCAAGCCCATGTGTATTTCAACTTTAAAATTTGTTAATCATAAACATCAGTGACATAACACAGGGCTTGGCCCTATAGCATAGACCAGAGGTTAGGGCGACCTGGTTGTCAGAGCCATTTTAGGATTTTGAGGTCACATGTTCTAATAACAAATAATTTTAAAAAAAGCAAAATACAAAATATACCGTAGAAAAATTTTCTAGGTTTTCAGGAAAACAAGCATTGTCTTGTTAAAGTAGTTAAAAAAAATAATATCTAGGTATATGAACCATTTGCCCTAACACTCCACCTCAATAGGTTTAAACTAGTAATAGTCATTGTCACTTGCCAAATAGTGGGGGTGGGGGAAATGGAAATTCATCCATAACTGACAGCATTTTATAGCATTTATTTATCCAAATTGAAGTGAAAGTCACTTATTCTTTATCTGTTGTAGATTAAAACATTTAAAATAGATGCCAATTATAGATAGTAAGTATATATACAAACAATTGTTGATAATTTATTATCTGTTACAGGTACTTCTGTAACAATATTTGATATGGTAAGCAATCGTCAAGTACGTACAGCCTGGAACCCAGATCAGTTTCTGTATGAAATTGTGAGGGATTATGATGTGAGTTTAATTTATATATTTTACTACCGAAGACCTCATTGGATTGTTCATTCTATACAATAGCTTCAAAATTTGCTGATTGGATGTCCAAAGAACTTCCAAACCAGGAGGCTAGCTAGGACCAGGTCTCTAGCCGGGGGTGTCAGGGTGGTGATTTTATGGTTGAAGGATACAAAATGTGGTGTTCTGAAATGAACAGTAAACCTTGTTTGAAAAATTAATATTTATAGTTAATGTCCTCAGTCCCCGACACTTAAGGCACCACCACTAAGTGTTCACACATAGTCTATAATAATAATTAACAATATCCTTGATTTAGTTGGATGACTAGTGGTATATCTAATTATCCAAAACCTCAGGAACATCAAACCATGTTGTATTGTATACTAATTCACAGAACTCAGTAGACCAAAAATCAGTGATGAAAAGGCTTTATAAACTGTTAAATGAGGTGTTACAACAGTATCCAATGATCTGAACTCCATAAAACAAGGAGGTTTTTCAACATCATTTTAATTTCATTCTCTACATCTCATTATATTTATACATTATTTTTACATTTTACATACCTTATTGATGAATTTTAAGAAATGTTATAATGAATAAATTTTGTAAAGAAACAAATTGTCCATAAAGTCCTATTGCAACTGAAATAATAATGGTTTTTTTTTTCTCCCAGATAAACAATTTTGAGATGATTAAAGATGAAGAAGGAAGGGCAGACCTATCTTCAAGAGTTTGTAATCGGTGGATGTTCTGGGTTATCCCCAGAAGAGGTAAGATGTCTGATCTTGCTTTTGATGGTGACCACAAACCTCGGTGTACTGTAGGATTTGAACATGGGGGATTGAAATGTAAGGTTATATTTACTACAAATTTAGCAATGAATTTCCTCTCTAATTTCATAACACAAAATTTACTCTACTCACCATGAGCTGAAACCCTGAGTGCTGGGACTTTGGGATGTTGAGTTTTTCATGTAATGCTATTAATCTTGAATTTTTGTAGCAGCTTTCAGGAGGGGAGTCAGAGAAAAATCTTGGATGGGGCCTTGCTACATGCAAAACACTGAGGGGGTGGTCGGAGTTGGTCCTTAAGGTTTTTGTGTAGAAATACTTGACCACAGATTCTGGTATATTGCCTTCCACAATAAAAAAAATCATGTGAAAAGCTCTTTACCACTGAACAAAATAAAATTCTGATAGATTTGATATATTGATTTTAACCTGATTTAATAAAAATAACAAGATTCGCAGTAGTAATAATAATAATAATAATAATAATAATAACGATTTTTAAAGCGCAAACATCACCACCAAAAATTGGTGCTCAAGGCGCAGTGTCAAAACAACAGATAGAGAACAAACAAATCACAAAAAACAAA